CACAGGGCACATAACATATGGAAAGTAGATCGAATTGCTCTGCCACCGTTGGGAGAAAACAGCACTGCCTAATGGAGTGTCGTAAAGAAACCCCTGGAAATACCGCTTTCTATTCTTACAAACATACACCGTTACAAATAAGCTCTTACTTGGGACACCCTTGGCTGGTCGAAAAATTGGTAACAAGATTTGAAGGGTTAATTCCCATTCCCCGTCCGAACAGCGCAGCCATAATGCTTCAAGAGGCGAAAAACGAAGCAGTTGAAGAGTTCAAAGGTGGGTTCAAATGCAAGGAGGGGGTCGTATTTGGGACATTTGCATGTCACTATTCATAACTCTCGTTCTCTTCGACTAGAGTAGTCAGTGCACGGCGCGGTTCCGTTTATTCTAAAGAATTCGGCCTGTCGCAAGAAAGAAAAAATATAGAACATAAGGTTGCGTTGGGTTAGGCTTGAAGGAGTGATCATGGTGACTGAAGTGTGTTGCGGTTTCGATGACGCCATCGAACGTCAATGAATTTCAACTAAACCCCGAGCGCGATGAGGGGTATAGCTCACCAATGACGGTCAATGACCTCATCAATACAGTAACCTCCAGCCATTTGAGCATTGCCTTTAAATTTTGTCACAATATTCCCAGATAACCAGTAAATGGCGAGGTCAAGCTCTTCAAAAAATAGCTTATTTCTCACCAGCAACTTGACAGAATAGCGTAGTGCCCGGCCGCAGTTACCCTTGCCATTTCTTCACTAGCCATTCTGTTTCCCTTTCCAGACATGAGCGATGGCATCCGAGGCCTGAACTATGAAGATCATCCAAATGCCCTAGAGGGTTTTTTTGAGAGTTCCTACCATCTCATTTTTTTGCTTCCAGTGATCATTCTATTCAAACTTTCGATTTTTATTTTTAGGATGTTCTCAAGTTATCCCTAAGTTATCGTTGCCAGTAGGAGAAAAGTAAGAATTCCTAAGGCATAGCTCTGAAGAGGATGTACACAATACTGTAATGAAACCAGCAAAACCCTTTCTCATAAAAATCGCTGCCATCTCTACAATCCCCCTCCCCTGTGGAGTCCAACTCAATCCCTATCGAGGAATCCTCGACGTTTTCTTCAGTAAAAGAGCAGAATATTCATGCCCTGTCCACGGATGAGATTCGTCGCAGTCGCCCAGTCGGCTGTGAGCTAATGTCACGAGCTGCGATCCCGCGATGGATCTTAGACCGACAGTGCCCATCATACTGCGATGGTGGACCTTCCAATCCCGGTTGCCACTGTCTGTTAGATGGTCGATGGTTAAGGCGGACGACTGTTCATGTTTCCACTGTGTTTCATCGCGACTACCAACATCCAAATGGGAGCACTGTGCGATTGCGATTCTTGCGAATCGCGCGAATCGCGCGACGGATCGCGGACTCCGACACCATTCTGGACGTAAGTGTAGAGAAATCGTGTCTCCATCGCCCAGCTTCAAGCTCAACTTCATGCAAGAAAACCCACAAAGGTCGGAAAAGTGCACTAGGTCACAGGTGGATTTGAGTGGTTCTTTTTTTTTGGGGACTCTTACCGGAACCTGGAACGCCTTATTCGATGTTTTTTTGCGCGTTAGTCCTTGCTGGCGAATGCGGTGGCGGGATATGCGCGATGTTAGGCTTTTGTATAGTATTTATTTATTTATCTGATGCACGCATAGGTGCGCTATATCATAGCCAATGGGATGCCGCATGTGCAAAAAAATTTGACCGACCTCAACTCGTAAGGGAATGAGTGTCACTATGCGTTGAGAGAAAAAATGGCACTATTTACCCTTTACTGCCCCACTCCTCAAGAACTGAGCCGGATTTTGATCGAAATTCGTCCATGACTGTGGATTTGGCTAGAAACTTGTTTCGGGGGTAATTTCGACCCGTAGAACACGAATATCACACCGGTTTAGCGCGAAAACGCTTGGCGCCCGCGCCACAGGCGCCGGCGCTATCACAACAGTTTTGCGCGGGCGCCCGTAGCGCAGGCTACAGGCTCACTCGCAACGAACTAATGTGATATTCATGTTCTACGGGTCAAATACCTCTGAAGACAAGTTTCCAGCGAATTTGGGTGATCCGAGATGTTCTGGCGCCTTTTGGCGCCGGCGCTTCTGGCGCGAGCGCCAGGCGTTCTAGCGGTAAACGAATGTGATATTCGTGTTCTACGGGTCGAATTACCCCTGAAGGCAAGTTTCTAGCCAAATCCACAGTCATGGACAAATTTCGATAAAAATCCGGCTCAGTTCTCGAGGAGTGGGGCAGTAAAGGGTAAATAGTGCCAAAAAATTCATAATTTCTGTCCAGTCAAGAAAATTGTTGAGTAGGCTACGTGTTCACCACTGATGACTCTAGATAGGCGGATGGCGCTAGGGATAACGCCACTCCTCGACGAGTTCGGAGCATTTCTCTGATACCGAAAGCGATGAAATTGTTCTCTTTACTAGTCTTTCGAACAAATTAATTTTTTGAAATTGCAATACCTATAACGCAGCGTAGTCGTGGTAAAAATCGTAGGAATTGAGTTAAACCTCTCACATTGACGTTCAAATCGAGCACTTCCTGCCAGACGATCTTTTTTGTTCCTGGGCGTGCCTTGTCAATAAGTCCAAACAGTCTGAAACCTCTTTCATAAAGTATGCCGATAAAATCTGGAAGCAAATTTGCCGGAATTTCTTGTTTTTGTTGAGATTCAGCCTATACTGACTCATTAGATCTATCTATGGAGATATCACAGTCGGTTTTGTACTTACGCATTCTGCCTTCACCCTATTCAAAAGGGTAAAAGGGTAAGTGGGGAACTATTTGGTGTTCATCAGACCTTTTTGGGATAGGCCCACACAATTACTTTTCTTATCGTAGGGGCATTTGTATGTCCTGTGGGCTCTTACATATACAATGGGTCTTCACATGCACAAGTCAATCGTTTTTGTCTTCCACACAAGTCTGGTACCATCAAACGAACCAAAGGGATGGAACGCTTAGCTGTTCCAGGCTAAATTCGATTCAGCATCTTGATTTGGCATCAGGCGTCTGATAAGAGGTGCCAGTTGCCAACATGCCACCTACGAGTGTTTGTGCTGGACAATCCAAGGAGTCTCTGGAACAGGGTCAACCGTCACGTTCGAACATTTTCGGGATTTTTGCGACCCCCCCCAATACAACCAGCCTTCCCCCACCGCGACCTCTCCCTCTTCTATAGTATTTGATTCTGAGACCAGTTGACACAGCCCAAAACCTACCTAAAACTCCGAAACTCCACCCACCTTTTTCCAAAACCAAAACTTACCCAAAACTCCGAAACTCCACCCACTTCCTCCCCAAAAATAGCCGTCGAGCTGGGGTGGACGAGGGGGGATATATACAACCAGTGAAACGGCAACTTTTTTCGCACGCACCTATGCCCTGCGCCCCTGATGACCAAACGTAACCAGCAGAACTGCGCAATGCGACCCCTCTCCCCTCCCAGAACACAAATGCGACCCCCCCCCGTTCGAACAGTTCGAACGGACGGTTGACCCTGCTCCGTAAATTGGAGGTGACTTTCGCCCTAAGAGGCACAGCAGTACCCTCCCCAATCCGTGTACCTGACAGGAGCTTGGTTATTTCGTCATAATTCAAGGGGGACCACACCACTGTGAAAATCCCTGTTTAGGTAAAACCTTCAAATCGTTTACGTGACTTACTAAAGCAGAAACGGGGCATTTCTGAGTTCCTGTGCGGCAATGAAAGTTAGTATTGATAATTCTTCTTCAGTAACTCACGACCTCCAGTAATAATCGAGCAGGTCGTGAGTAGACTTTATGCCCATGGCTTTCATCCGTTTGCTCACATCCGGATTATTTTTCCTGAAAGAGCGATCCAATTATGTAGAACTATTACGATCCCTTCAGAAAAAAAATGTTGACTGTAACCGCAGATTTTTCTATCGAGGTGATCCTAAAAGCTCAGCGAATTTATCAAGGTTACTATAGCCATTTATGCATAGATCTCACTATGAGGTTAAGCGGAAATTATCCGTCGTTTTTCAGACTCATGGTTCTTTGTTTTTTGCTGATTATTTTCAAAGTTATGTGTAGTCTGAAAGCGCTCAATCTCTTGTACATTTTGATGTACAACACTTGTGTATTTACTTCACTATGGAGCTTACACACTAGCAAAAAAATTGCTCATGCCACATGAGTGCAAGTTGACTCGAAACGAAATGCGGTGCAGCAGCTCGTAGAATCAGCGAAGCCAGGGGCGGGGTGAAAGTCGTGTCGGGACGTGGTCGAAGGTGCACGACCCTAAAATTGGGATATTGTACGACCCCTTGCAATGTGAAAGTCAAGTTTTGAAAAACGACGGCCGATTCACCAGCAGCTGCGGACCATGGATGACCCTGGGTCAGATTTGCTGAAACCCCGAAAAAAACCGTCGAAATCTACACCCTCGATGAAAAGGTTGCATTCCTCCATTTCATAACCTTTGAAGCAGTTTGAGGTAGGGTTAGATAGAGCTGGATTTCGCGTTTCCAAACAGTGCTGAAAAAGCTCTACCATCGGAGAGATAGGGTCTCTGACTGCACCGAGCGAGCGTCGAGAACGCCAAAATTTTCATGCGAGTTTTTGCCACTCAAAAAGTAATATCTCAACCGATATTCATCCTAGCTTTGGTGAAGGCACGGTTGCAGGGAAGACTGTTGGAGAAGGACTGTTGATGAACTGTTAGTTGTTGTTTCTAATTCTCCAAGTTTAACACCATACGTGTACTATTCGAAAGAGAATTGTCTGCTCTATAAAGCGCTATGTTTCACTTCCCCTTTGTTCCAGGGTTTTCAAATTTTGAGGCCTGCGAAATGGGAGGTCCAGCCGACAAAAATTGACCAAACCGACAACTAGCTCTAACTCTTTCCTCTGGAAGGATTCAATCAATCGCGAGCCCTCGACTTAGTCTAGTCCTCTTCTGGGGAAGACATTTTGCAACTAGGTTGTCGGAAAAGTATCGCCATATTCCTTTTCGAAATTGGTTTTTCTGGTGGATCCATAAGGTATAGCGATTTTTAAAATAAAATCCCTCCTCTAAACCACCATTATTACATTGAGTGGTACATCATTCGAGATTGCATTTCCTGCTCTATTCACGCATTTGCTTCGATTTCATGCTCGTCAGGAATCAGGAAGAATTTCAGGCCTGCGTAAGAAGGTGTTCAGTCCATGAAAATGGCAACATTTCTTTGAAAAAAAATTTACCCGAGAAGTTAGAAAATCAACCAACCATTCCTTAATTAATCATGGATTGTTTTGCAATGTCTAAGCTGTAAAAAATTTTGAGCTAGATTTTAGGAAATGGTGCTCGACCGTCGAGTTCTAGTTGAAAAACCAAGTCTGGAGAAAGAGCAAGGCGACTTTGGCAAGCCTAATAGCGAAACGTTCAGAGGAGTCTGGCTAAGCTGATGGTCAATCATTAAATGATTCCTCCCTTGGAACGTAGAATTAGGGCTAGTTGTCGGTTTGGCTATTTTTCGTCGACTGGACCTCCCATTTTGCAGGCCTGAAATTCAAAAATGCCGCAATGAATGTGGAAGATAGGCATGCTATCTTATAGAGCAAAATTTCCCTTTTGAATCGCATGCGATATTGAGTAAAATCTAGAGGAATTAAAGGAGGAATTCACGATTAGAATGGAGGTCGAAGAACAAGTAATTGACCTAGTTGAGGGACCCACGGACCTCCTGAGGGTGCGAACTGACGCGCAATTCGCATGGAAAAATTTGACCTCGGCGACCTATCATGCCTCAAAGCTGGCGGGTCCGGCGATCTCCGCCCACCGATCATCTGATCACTCGCCGTAGTTCAATACGTGGCGAGTGATTAGATAGCTGAGAGAGCGTAGTGTTGAAGAGGGCACAGCGATGAGAGTCGCATCAATGCGAAATCAAGCGGGAAGGAAGGGGTACCATTTCTCGGGTGTTAGGACGGCGTCATGCAGTGCCAGGAGAGGCTACGGACAGGATCGGTTTTCCATCAAGCCAGTTGAGCAGAACAAGACGACTGTTGCAGAAAAGGTGAGAGTGTAGAGCTTAGCCAATGGCCTGCAAGAAATGGGCTCATTTCTAGTTTAGGCTGTGGATTATTGGTACAGCCAATTAGCTCAACGTTGTGTACCTCAGGAGAACAAACTAAACTTGGAGGTCTTCTACCGGGGCGTTTGGTATTATACTCTGGTAACGTAAAAATCATGAAACAAAGCCAACCGGTGATTGATCACATAATAAATACGTTTCAGCTTGCCTGGCAGTGGAACAAGATTGGGTATGCAGTTGTAAACTATTCAACCTTTACCTATGCGGGATACGAGTACAATCCTTTGTGAGTGCTTCACGGAAACTGTTCCTTCTTTCGCAGTTTCGTTCACCAAAACGGTTTCAGAGGAAATCTTCTCGGATCCATGATATACGAAGTAGGAGAACCATATAAAACGGATGTAAATATGAGGGATGTAGCCAGGAAAAAGCGCTCTGCGTCCCAGGCGTTATACCAATAAAACCTCAGTATTGGGTACCACTTGAAAAAATAGGTTGGTATTTTCTGGAATTTACTCTAGCCTTCGGCTATCCCCCCAATTCAAATTTCAGTGACGCACTGTGATCTGATAACGGGATGACGGACGAACTCAGGCAAATTTGGGTTGACAAGCATAACGAATATCGGTTAGCGATTTATAACATATTTCATAGATCACTTGTCGTCAAAGGACAAGCCAAAAATGGAACTGATGGATTCGCACCGAAAGCGGCCAGAATGTCAAAAAAGTTTGACAATAACGTTTCTGAGTGCTAAAAGAGTCCAGTAAATACATTTGACTCTTGAATGAACATCCCGCTCTAGTAGGAATTCTCACGGTAAGATCCGGTTAAATCAAAGGTAATAAATTCATGCAGACCTACGACTGCGATGCTGAGGCAAGCGTGATGTCATGGATCAAGAACTGCATCTTCAAACATATCCCCGGAAAAGACAGAAAGGGCTATGGACAAAGCCTACGGTCTGGATCTGGATCGATTATAAAGCAAACATGACACAGGTTGCAGTATGGGTGAGCACATCGTTAAGAGACATATTTTCCTTTGGAATTGCATTATTACTTTTTCAGAGTGTCCATAGTTGGTAAAACGAATTACCGACGCATGGTGTACCTAGGGACAATATTTTGACCTGGGCACTGTGCATTTCACCGCCCACAAATGCGTAAGACTTCATATGGGCCGTCTGCGATTGCGGCAATGATGGCACCTTCATTTCCCATTCTACCCTATGCGATAATAAATCTTTCCCGATATTTCGTGCCCCAATTTCCACCGAATATACCAATTTTCTTTGGCGTTACGTAAGTCAAGAAAGCATAAGAGATTGACCCGTTCACAAGGGACGGTTTCACAAAGAAATTGGTTTGTTTTTGAAAATCTGAAGAGTAATCGACTGGTACGTCCCTCCACATTTTCACGAAAAGGAGTCTTCACCGAGTTCCCTTAGGATTAATATCGAAGTGCGTCCCAGTATCGGTCAGGATCTGACGAAGATTACCGAAGATGTCACAGGAAGAAGCCTTCGTTGAACTTTAAGAAAAGGAAGGCCTAAACGGTTTCCACACGTTGATAAATGGCCAGAACAATAGGCGCGGAGGAAAAATTGTGCGCAGCGGATAGTCGATATGCTGTATGCTCGCAAGTGATATGGTAAATGTTGTGAAGAGTTCTGTTACTTAATTCAAGGTGTAAGGTTCTGACAGCCAAAAGGAGAAATTGTCATAGATGAGGCATTTTAGGATTTTCCAGTTTTCATTGTTCATGGAAAAATTCGAGAATAAATGCAAGGATAGCCTGGAGAATGCGATGGTTCCCTTCGATAGACAAAGCTTCAAAAAATAGATTCGCTCATGACGACTATCCAATATACATAGGTCTACCTTCACACTGTGGCCCTCCGAAATAAAAAAATGATGCTGTTATAGACCGACAAATCGAAATCAAAGCGCCACCTCAATAAAAAGCTTGTATGTCATACAATCCACATTCCCTGCGGAATTCTCAGGGAAACTTCGATTTAATTCACAAGTGATACGCTTCGATTCGAGAGTTTGAGATCTGAAAATGTTTTGATCAGTTCACTGTGAGTGAAAAACAATGTCATCACTGAATTATACAATTACTGGACCAGCACTTCTTTTTCAAGTGGATTCGAGAGCTATGGTGTCGAATCCGCTCCGGAATTGTAGAGCTTCCAAAGATCTGATGGGCCATTTTTCTGAAAACTATATCTTTCAAATGATCCGCAAGTTTGAGAGACCATAATGCCTATTGCATTCTACGTTCATTTACAGGCATTATAATTGAAGAACAATCTCGTTGTCTTATTGCCTGGGCTAGAACAAAAACAATAAATGTTCCAAATTTTTATCGCTCCAATTGTTAGGCTGTCCCACAAGTCATAGTGTCGGGTTTTTCGAGCAGAAAATTTCCTGTTAAAGGACGAATTCACGCTGGAAAGGCAACCCATTTCAAATTAACTAGGGATGGTGATTGGTACACGAAAGAAGGAAGAACCATGAGAAACGGCCCAGAACCCGAGAAATGGGACCCCTTCCTTGCCCGTTGATTTGCGCATTGATGCGACTCTATCGCTGTGCCCTCTTCAACACTACGCTCTCTCTGCTATCTAATCAATCGCCACGTATAGATCTGCGGCGAGTGATCAGCTGGTCGGTGGGCGGAGATCGCCAGACCCGCCAACTTTGAGGCATAATAGGTCGCCGAGGTCAAATTTTTCGATGCGAATTGCGCATCAGTTCGCACCCTCAGGAGGTCCGTGGGTCCCTCAACTAGGTAAATTACTTCTTCCTCGACCTCCATTCTAATCGTGAATTCCTCCTTTAATCCTCAATTTACTATACGTATAGATTATACGAAGGGAAATTTTGCTCTATAGGATAGCATGCCTATCTTCCACATTCATTGCGGCATTTTTGAATCCCAGGCCTGCAAAATGGGAGGTCCAGTCAACGGAAAATAGCCAAACCGCAACTAGCTAATTCTAGGTTCCCTAGGAGGAATCATCCAGTGATTGACCATCAGCTTAGCCAAAACTCTTCTTAACTTTCCGCTATTAGGCTTGCCAATAGAAACCTATCAAACTCACAACTGTCAATCACAATCAATCACAATCAAAAGTGGGATCTCCTACAACGATGAGGTTAGTATGAATAAAATCGCTTCGGATCTGCATATCTCACGCAGAGGTGTTCAAAACGACGTGAGATTTGGATTGGATTTACACAGTTACTGCTGAGGAGAGGTACTCAGCGAAGCCGCCAAGAAGAATAGACTGAAGAAATATAAGAAGCTTCTGTCACGTGCCTCTCAGATATTCTCTGACTGGCGGGAAATTCTTCTCCAAAAAAAACGATGTGTAAAAACCAGAAGCCAGTTCCCGAAGTCGGAGATGTTTTGGGCCGGGAAAACATTAACAGGCAAGACACCTCTCGTTTCTATTGATAAAACATCAAAATCTACTTGGAAGCCCACTGGAAAGTAGTTTTGAGGGACACACTGATGCCGTGGGCCCATAAACACTTCGAAGGAAGAATTTATTTTGCAACAAGAATGGGCGCCAGCAGATGGGTCGAAATCCACGATTTCCTTCTGGTCAAAGTAATTTTCCTGATTTTGGGCAAGGACATGTGGCCATCTATAATAAATCCCCAGACACTGAACCTAATGCGAGCTACTGGTAGCTATCTGCACGGGCAATGGATGTCTTCTTTCTCCCCACCGCGGTTTGGATGGTCTGGTAGCAGCACTTCAGAGGGAATGGCAGAAGATTGATGTCAACTGTCCACCACGGAAGCCTTTACTAAGAGATTAGAAGCTTGTCTTCTGGCCAAAGGCAATCATTTCAGAAAGTACCTCGAGTGAATGATCCTTTACCTGGATCCTATCATGTGACAAAATTTCTTGGAGAACTGCTACCATATTTATCTTTTTACATGAAAGTAAATACCGGAGCATAATTTGTAGCCACCCTGTAGATAGTATACAAAGTTCAACTTTATTGAAAATTCAAATGCACTTAATAAGAATTATTCAGAGATCTTTCAATTGTTCACAGGAACGGCAGCAAATTTCCTTGAATTCGGACGCCTTACAGTAATGGCGTAGTTTTGCTTTAGAGTACTTCCTGCAAGTCTTCTCGTTGAGATCGGAACATTCTGAAATCACTTTAGAAGTAGGATGAAGCAAACACGCGAAATCGTTCTGTGGACTTCTCAGTGATGAACAGTGAAAACCACTAGCTAATCTGCTCCTCATGTATGTGACATTAGGGATCGTGTAAATAATTGAAAAATTTCCATTTCTTTCGACTTGATTGACATAGAATTTGTAGTTTGTTTCACTAACTTCAACGTATTCATGAGTTTCATGTTCCAAGCATAACCTGCAACACTTTCATTCTACATATATAGGGTTGAAAAAGATTTTTATGATTCTCCACTACAGAGGAAGGGGAGCAAAAATAATGGTAACATGAAAAGTGATTATGGAAAAGCAATGTGGCCAAAACGAGTGAACATATTCATAAGAACTTATCAAACAGAAGACAACGTCAAGTTTCACACTTGCGCTATCTGCTTTGCAAAATCATCTCTGCAACGCAATATGCGTAAAGCCTAGGTAGTTGGCAATGAGCATCTCCTAGGCTCTCTTTAAATTCGTCGATGCTGCACTGTACTTGCAGTAGGCCATCGTCGTAAGTAAAATTCACGCAGAATAACTCAAATGATTTCAGTGGGGAGAACAAGGGTGCTACTTATTCATTGAAAAGTTCTGCTGCACCAATGTTGCACAAAATTTGTTCAATTACAGGGCGACCGATCTTGCTGGTGTGTCCAGCCGTTTCTCTTGAGGGTTTCTTTAACTAGACGCATTTTTCAAGTTTGATGGAGTTCAAAAGGTTCCGACAACGCTCTACGTATTTGTAAGATATAGCAACTTGCACTTTATGCCACCATCGGACTAAGAAATATAAGAGAGTCGTATTGACAAACTTGCGCCAGGCAACAGCAGAAGGGTCTCAGACTTTGCGAATCCAGCAAATCGCTAGCGAATGCGAGGTTCGAGCGATGCACCAGCGGTTTGAACGATGTACCACGGACTTGACTTGAAAGTGCCCTCTCGCTCTCTCATGCCCTTGTGAGCCTGGAAGAGGCACTGTTAGCAGTGCGAACGGAGGGCTCCCACATTTTCAAAACTGTCAATACTGGTGCATCGTGCAACCACTGGTGCACCGCTCGTTCACTTGATTCGCTAGCTACTGGCCGAAATAGCAAAACCTGACATAGGCTGCACTAGATTAATGAAATCGTATTTGTTGAAGTAAAAAAAAACTAAATCTAAAGACAATACCTCGCAGTCGCTTCGGGTTGTCAACACAAAGTCCCGCAACACACCACTGAAAAGTTTTTGTTTTACAGTAATACACCACCACTAAACGCAGAACAGTCACATCATCAAGAAAAAAACTGTTAGAAGGCCCAGGCTCTTGAAATTTCTGTCTTACCCAGGGTCAAGCGTGCGTTGAGGAATCCTCGACATGTCACAGAGGGGGGGGTCGTATTGGCCCGCTGGGGAAGAGATCGGGCCCGATTGATACAGTAGGATCATCGTCGGAGGACAAACATCAAGGATCGAATCGATACCATGGTTTCCAATAAACAATTATTCCGTCTCAGACAAAAATTTTCGTGGTTCAACGGGGTCCGCGTAGTAATTCTGAACAATTACTCTTTGATTTATCACGACAAGGTCTAGAGTTAACTGGGGGAATTACATCGCACGTTCTTCGATCGAGTGTTTCAACTTTCGAATGAGAGGGGATGTGGAGCACACGACGCGTCCCACTCATTGCGCGCGCTTCAACTGCGGCTTTCTGAAGAGAAAAATCGTTCGATTCAAGAGGATTCTGAAAGGGTTCATGTGAAATTACAGGGAGGAGTACACTATTCAACAAGAAATGCAGCCTTCAGCGTCAAATTCACAAGCATGTAAGTTTAAAGTTGAGAACGCTAAACAATTTTACACTTTTTGGAAAGAGAAAAGCACGAGGATTCCGAATCTGCTCCTACTTTAGTACATAATCGCCCTGAAAGGAGCTATAGTCGTTGAAATAGTGCCAATGCAGCGAAAAAGTACCTTTCGGCGGTACTCGGGCAAAAATCCTCAACGTGGCCATTTTTTAAATAGTGGACGTATTTAGCAGTTCTAGTAACCTTGAATAGAGCAAATCTTCTAGTTTATGATGACGTATTAACTTTTCAGATTGGATGAGTTTGAACGGAGTTATGGCTTTGGAAAGCGTAAAAACTCGCACTCATCACGAATTTTCCTCGTTAATTTTGCAAAAATCCTCAACGTGGCCATTTTTTGAATACTGGACGTATGAAGCTGCTTTAGCGACCGTTTGATAGAGAAAATCTTCTAGTTTTGTATGCCATATTAACTTTTCAATTTGACGAAAATGAAGCAAGTTATTGCTTCGGAAAGTGTAAAAACTCGTGCTCATCTCGAATTTTCCTCGTTAATTGATCTAAATTTGTTATTTCTTATAAATTTTTGTAATTTCAGTACTTATTAGAAAAAGCTCTTCACAAAACCTCCAAATCTGCTTTCATATTCGTTTCTTTCATATTCATAAGAAATTCGTTCACTTTGAAGAAACCCCTGGATCTCATGAAATGTTATGTGTGGCTTGACAGAATCACGCTCGCTCATCGAAAATGCAGATTCAAACGCGAGTTTGTGGGCGCTTCCCGCTGTGCATCTTTTCGTCGCAGGATCATTCCCCGCAATTCTGCAGAAAACGTTGAACTGCAATCGCTGCGACGTCGCGTTTTCTCATGACACCACATGGATTGGATGTTGTGCTTCCATTTTCGAAGTATGAAATTTTAAGCGTTTCCGTTCCATGCTAATTCTTCAGTGAAATCAGCGAAAATATGCGAGTTGAGGGTGTTTGAAGCTTCCAATTTCTGGAATCATGAATAAAGAGAGATCATAACAGCAAACCTTGCTACGGCCACATTCGGTGCCGTCGAGCGCTGGAAAATAAGTTTTCGTTTCACACGGTTCACTCCTTCGTTTGGTTCTGTCTTTACACCAAACCCGAGCGCACACATCACGACTCAAAAAATACTCCTTGTTCTGAAATTTGTCACCGTCACAAATTGTAATTTTCCCTTCACAGGGCTATGAAATTAGATTGACCATCCCTTGATCCAAGGCTAAGCTGAAATCGAACAAAGCTTAAGACATCGATCGATTCCAGAAAAAAAAGCTATAAAGGATGGGATAAAGCATTTGCCGTTGATCAATCCCTTTTTGGGATGCGGCACGCATTCTACTTCCATTTGTACATTCGTAGTGGCGTTTGAATGCGATGTGGCCTATACAATGACTTGCGGGGGCCAGCCGATGTACAAGTCAGTGTTTTTCCTCCCAGACAAGTCTGGTACCAATTAACCGACCCCGGAGGGATGGAAGGCTTGGTTGGCCCGGGCGACTCACGACCAGGACTCGATTCCCGGACCGCGTGTGCGTGGAAAGCAGCGTCACTTGTCACTAGGCCTCCAAGAAGTATCACAGTCTTTCTCAAACCAGCCATGGTTATGCGGAAGGAAACGTTAGCTCTCGGTG